TTCCCAGGGGGGCCAGGCAGGCGCCGTAGTGACGGGTGCTGCACACAGGAGCCCGGAGGGAGCGTGCGGAGGGAGGGCACCCGGATGGCCTGTGCGTCTCGGTGAGAGGGGCGGCCAGGGTCGCAGAGCGTCAGCTGCTCCGAAGTCCGAGATGTGGACTGGGGTGAGCAGCAGACCGAGTCCACAAACTCTGGAGTAAAGCCAGCAAGCTTATTTTTTAGCTATCTTTTTTTTAGCTTAGCTCACCCTTCATCTTTTTTTTTTTAAAGACTTTTTAAAATTGAATTTGAGAGAGAAGAAGGGAGAGGGAGAGAGAAACAGCGACGTGAGAGTGAAACGCCCACCGGCCTTCAGCTGCTCCGAAGTCCGAGATGTGGACTGGGGTGAGCAGCAGACCGAGTCCACAAACTCTGGAGTAAAGCCAGCAAGCTTATTTTTTAGCTATCTTTTTTTTAGCTTAGCTCACCCTTCATCTTTTTTTTTTTTAAAGACTTTTTAAAATTGAATTTGAGAGAGAAGAAGGGAGGGAGAGAGAGAAACAGCGATGTGAGAGTGAAACGCCCACCGGCCGCCTCCTGCACGCCCCCTGCTGGGAATCGAGCCCGCAGCCTGGGCATGTGCCCTACGGAATCGAACCAACCACCTTTCGGTGCAGAGCATGACACTCGGCCACGGAGCCAACTGTTGTTGGTGGTGGTGCTATTCTCTACCAGGCAGCCTCCAACCACATCTTGCCTGAATGTCTAGAATGGGGCTCAGTTCTTTGACTCTGTTACAGGTTTGGTTTTGCCCATGGCCACCTCACTCAGAAAACATAGGAATCAATTCTGAATTATCAGTCATCTCCCCAGGCCCAGCGCAGAATAGGCCCCATGACAGTCTGTTGAATTCTTCCTGACCCTCCCAGATCCTGCACCTCCACCAGCAAAAGCTTCATTAAATGCTGACTCCGCAGAAGTTTTGTGTGTAAGTGTGAGACTGAGAATGTGTGAGCATGTCAGTGTGAAACCTGTGTGAGTGTATGGCAAATGTGTGTGAAGGTATGAGATATTTGTGAGCATGTGAGTGTGAAAATGTGGGTGAGGATACATGTGTGAGGGTGTAAGATATTTGTAAGCATGTAGGTGTGAGAATGTGGGTTATGCTGTGTGTGTGAAAGCAAATATATGTCAGCATGTATAAGTGTAAGAATGTGTGATGTGTGTGTGTGTGTGTGTGTGTGAGTGTGAGTGTGCATATGAGTGTGTGTATGAGTCTGGGTGTGTGCATGTGGGTGCTTATGAGTGTGGAGTGTACATGAGTGCATGAATGTGTGCAAGTAGGTGTGTGTGTGTCTGTGTGTGAGAGTGTGAGTGTGCATATGAGTGTGTGTATTAGTCTGGGTGTGTGCATGTGGGTGCTTATGAGTGTATGTGAGGGTGTGAGTGTGTGCAAGTGTGTGTGTGCATATGAGTGTGTGTATTAGTATGGTGGGTGTGCATGTGTGTGTGTGAGTGTGTTTTGTGTGTGTGTAGAACTCTAAGTCAAGGAAATAGCTTGAGGCCGCTCTTCTGCTCACCATGGTTGGTGGGTTATTTCTGTGGAAGGGAACTGAGTGGTCAGCGCCAGCACCCACACGCCGGGCAAAGGCTAACCAACCATACGGTGCTCGCCTGCCGCGCCCGGCTCACCAGTGCAGATGCCGTTTCTATGATGAAAGCTCCTGAGCCCTTTGAAGCACCTGCAGGGCCGCTCAGGGGGCCCCGTCTGGAACGCCTGGCGCCGGGAACCTTGCGAAGCCCTTGGGAAGGCCCCGTGCCCCGGGGCAAGTCCCCCCAGCCCCGCCCCGCATGGCGCCTGCCTACCTTGGATGGTCTGGGTGAAGGGTTTCTCCCAGGCGTACATCTTAATCAGCTTGATGCAGGTCACAAACTCGTTCATGATCTGCACCCGCTTGTCCGTCATGGAGATCGCTGACCTTCGGAAAGCCGAGTTGAGCTTGGCCATGAACACCTGAAGGCGAGGTACCTACGTTGTGTTCCGGGTGCCCTGCGGGCGCAGATGCCGTTTCTATGATGAAAGCTCCTGAGCCCTTTGAAGCACCTGCAGGGCCGCTCAGGGGGCCCCGTCTGGAACGCCTGGCGCCGGGAACCTTGCGAAGCCCTTGGGAAGGCCCCGTGCCCCGGGGCAAGTCCCCCCAGCCCCGCCCCGCATGGCGCCTGCCTACCTTGGATGGTCTGGGTGAAGGGTTTCTCCCAGGCGTACATCTTAATCAGCTTGATGCAGGTCACAAACTCGTTCATGATCTGCACCCGCTTGTCCGTCATGGAGATCGCTGACCTTCGGAAAGCCGAGTTGAGCTTGGCCATGAACACCTGAAGGCGAGGTACCTACGTTGTGTTCCGGGTGCCCTGCGGGCACAGCTGGCCTGAACACCCCCCACCCCCTGAGGCTGGAGTTGGAGGGCGGGGACAGGGCCTAAGGGAAGCTGGCAGGCGTTCTCACTCAGCCAGCGTGGTCTGGGGGCACCAGGGGCCAGGGCAGGCGATGTAAATACGCGGGCCACCAGGACGCAAAGGCGGTGTCGGCAACTTTGACAAACTGGGGAAGCGTGCCCTGCCCCCTCCCCAGGGCTTTCAAATTCAAGTTTGAAAAACCACCACACTGTGCCCGCCCGCCGTGGCTCAGTGAACCAGGAGGTCAGGGTTCGATTCCCGGTCAGGGCACAGGCCCGGGTTAAGGGCTTGATCCCCAGTGTGGGGTGTGCAGGAGGCAGCCGATCGATGGTCCTCTCTCTATCT